GATATCTTCTCTCCGGAGTCTGCGGGGAGCAGGAAGAAGAAGGAATTGAGGATGGAGAGAAGGACCATGGGAAACACAATTCCCAATATGTAGAAGGAGGATTGGTGTTTAATATGAAACGTTATTATGTTCTTAGGTTAGATTCATATCTTAATTCATATCGTCAAAAATAATATTATTCTGATAATACTTTCCACTAGTAGGACAGCATCTTTTGTACTGTTTCTGCTGTGCCAACAACACTTATTTAGCTTACCTGTGGACGTCGATGTCCCAATAATGAATAGTCAGCTTTCCCTTTATGTCTAGCAATATTCCAACAGCTCCAGCCTTTGGTGTCTACATTTCACCACTTTTCAAGTTCAATCGAGCATGCTCCTTCTTCAAATGTTTTAAAGAGCGTCATGCGACACTTGCTAAAAGTGTGTTTGATCAGGGTTACAACATTCGAATCCTCACTAAAGCTTTAAAAGTTTTTATAGTAGACACGTGTGTGGCATTTCCAAATCTGACGCATCAGTCACAAAAATGATGTCCGATGCAATTCCCTATTTTGATTATACCATATGTTCCAATGACTTTTTTAGGCGTGCAATTGACTTGCTTTTGTATGTGTTTGTGACGGGCGTCACCGTGGGACAAGATACTCTCACCTTCTCGCAAAAACTCTTTTCATCAATGTTTGATAGTGCTTCATAAACACATGCTTCTGAGGTAGTCGGAATTGTACAGAAGACTAAGTTTTCAGTAGGTATTTCTTTTGATTATGGTCGTGGTTTCTGTTCCTTTTACATACGTCCTCTTACCTGATTTATCCCTTTTTTTAATGGTCCAATCATATGTTTGCACAGCTATTTTAGCCTTTACGCCAAATGGAATCAGTTTCGGAAGAAAATCCAGACTTGTTATTCTCTTGCATTGACTTTACATTTACAGCACATGTGACGTGAAACCTCGTTTCAGATAATCCGTTTCTGATTGTGTTCTTATGACGTATGAATGATGACTTGCACCGTGGTTATCAAACTTGTTGTCAAGTGGTGAACGACCCAAGGGCTTCACAGTCGTATCACGCGTCTGTTCATGGTTATCGTTGGATTGTATGGTACTTTTTAAATAATTAATACGGTAATTATGTTACAAAGTGAGGTATATGTTTCAGATAAGCGTAAACTTAAAAATGTTAGTAACATTGATGTACCTGCCACATTCATCTCTTCAAATGTAGCAAGTTCATCAGACATATGTTAATTTGTTGTTATAGATGTGGACATAACGTTAAAGCGCAACTCAGAGCTACTAACGAGATGAGAATATCCATGAAATATTGATTAATGCTACAGAATGTACACATCGAACTTCATGTTTTAGCGTTCCACTGATGACCAATATTGTCCAACTGTAGTCCCACTGAAAGCTACTAACGAGATGAGAATATCCATGAAATATTTATAAAAACTACAGAATGTACACATCGAACTTTATGATTCAGTGTTCCACTAATGACAAATATTGTCCAACTATAATCCCACTGAAAGCTACTAACGAGATGAGAATATCCATGAAATATTAATAAATGCTACAGAATGTAATCGTCGCATTTCATTTTTTTGGTTCCAACGATAACGAATATTGTTAAACTTTAGATTCGTTGAGAACTACAAACGAGATAAAAACTTCAATGCCCGCCTGCGTACAATCGAAATTTAGTTTTATTAAACGATATTCCTGCTTCAAACACGGGGTCTAAGGAAGTCCCTGTGCTTATTGAAGCATTTAAGAAAGTATTTCATGGATTTATGTTCAGTTGATGGGGATTGAATCAATTGATAGTTTCGTCTTACGTGTTTCCAGGTGGAGTGATTGAACTCCCCTTTTGATGTTTCAACCCGATACACAACTATCCCAAGTGATACATTAAACCAAAAGCGACACGTATGACAAATTGAAAGAAAAACTAAGTTCTCTGATAAATAGGGGTGTTGTTTTCAAGAAAGGGGTTCGGACTTTTGATATTATTGATACATTTAAAGTATGGAGTTTATTAACTCTGAAGGTATTTTATTTTATTCAGAAAGTTGGGGACAAGTGATACTTGTTCAAATATTTGCGGGGCGGTCGGGTAGCCTAGTGGTTAAAGCGTTCGCTCGTCACGCTGAAGACCCGGGTTCGATTCCCGACATGGGTACAATGTGTGAAGCCCATTTCTGGTGTCCCCCGCCGTGATATTGCTGGAATATTGCTAAAAGCGGCGTAAAACCAAACTCACTCACTCAAATATTTGCGAAATGTGGACGTCAAAGCCTGGAGCTGCTGGAATATTGCCGCACAGATAATATTGCTGGAAAGTGGAATGTTAGACATTTGAAGTCGTCACTCTTGAAAACGCCTTCTGATGATGCGGTACATCACCTTCAATAACTGTTATTGTGCTGTATAAGTGCCATATTAGATCGGCAGTACTTGCATGCTAAATTGTCACTGTTTGTATTCCCATGACATGCAAAACCTACCATGTTTGGTGCACTGTGTAGTCTTCGTTATGGAATACTGAAAGTGACATTCTCTCTTTGCTGGCACTCTCGCGATCTCGACTTTTGGAAACGAGCTAAATGTGCCCCCAACCCGAGAATGGGAGAACGCGAGAACGCGAGAATTGACCAAAATATCGCGTTGCCGCGATCTCGGATTCCCGGGTTTTTTTTACACATAGCACTTTTTGTCAAAAGTCGCCAACGCGGGAATGAGACATTTGGACATGATGCAAAATTTCGTAATCTCGACTTGTCAAATTAGGCCACAAAAACACGAAATCGCGAGAACGCGAGAATGCGACATTTCATTTTCTCAAGATCTCGCGTTTTCTCGTTCTCGCGTTTTAGACGCTGTCCGTGCGCATGCGTAATATCTTAAGGTCAAATCGCAAGCGCACATTAGTAGTCCTGTGGTCATGCTTCTTTAATGCTCTTCATTCTCCATGTAGCATTTAGCAAACTTGAGCATGACTTGAGCTTGAAAATGCTATGTAATGTACATAAACAAGGTCCTTTGTTGACAACAGTCCTCTCCAGATGTTTCAGTTTCCTATGTACTTTATATTAAAACCCTCAACATGCTCACTATAATTTAACAAAAGAAATTATGTACAACTATTCAATGATAGTGAAAAGATAAAATTGTCCGGAAGCTGGAAACAAAATATCACCGTCAGTGAGTGAGTGAATATTGCTTAAAGCCGGATTAGCAGTATTGCAGCTATTCGCGGCAACAACGTCAGTTATAGAAATAATCTCAGGCCAGTGAGTTTCTCAATGAGGTAATATTTTACACGGCTAACATATTCATTAAAACACAATTCTCGCAGACCAATTTGTAGCATTCGTCGAAAATGAGATTGCCACGACACCGTTTTCGCTACTTTAGTCATACAAAATTAATGAATAGATTTTCATCCGCTCCCACCGGCTTACGCCGGTTAAGTATAGTCGCCATCTTTACTGAGGCTTAGTTTCAAATGATGTACTTCGCTATTTCTGTTTCAAGTGGATGTATTTGAAATTGAATTTTGATTCTCAATCATATTAATATACCCAAAGACAGCCGGGTCCAGTTTATGTTTATCAGCTTAGTTTTCAAATAGGCAAGCTGTCATGTTGCATATCAGGAACAGGAGTTTATTTCACAGCCCGTTGGACAAAATGCGTAGATACACAAATGTACGGAAACGTATCCGTGATAACCCTTGAGCAAACACTAAATACACAATTAAGTGAGATATTTATCTGAATATCTTTGATCGGATATTTCATGAGCGAAAATATTTATTCAAAAGCGATAATGTAACTGCAAGATTTAATTTAAATTCAAAAGTCCACATCGTGGTTTTAAAACGAAACCATCATTTTTATCTTAATGACATATGCATAATGAGACATTTTTGTCTGTATGTGAGAGTGCGTGTGTGCGTAGGTAGGGACATTATGCAGTCGGGTACACGCCAGGCAGATACCGGGGATGTAGCCTGAAGGAAGGTAAGGCTGCCTGATTGAGTTGCACCTGGCGAAGAATGACCAGTCGGAGACTCTCAAATATCCTCGTAACTTCTGGCACGTGTGTGTGTGTGTGCGTGCGTGCGTGCGTGCGTGTGTGTGAGTGTGTGTGTGTGTGTGTGTGTGTGTGTGTGTGTGTGTGTGTGTGTGTGTGTGTGTGTGTGTGTGTGTGTGTGTGTGTGTGTGTGTGTGTGTGTGTGTGTGTGTGTGTGTGTGTGTGTGAGAGAGTGTGTTGCGTGTGTTGTGTGTGTGTGTGTGTACGTGTGTGTGTGCGTGAGGATGTGGGTGTGGGTGTGCGTACCGTATCAGTAATATCGACTTCCAGCACAAAAAATTATTAGGGGGCGGTCGGGTAGCCTAGTGATGAAAGCGTTCGCTCGTCACGCTGAAGACCCGGGTTCGATTCCCGACATGGGTACAATGTGTGAAGCCTATTTCTGGTGTCCCCCGCCGTGATATTGCTGGAATATTGCTAAAAGCGGCGTAAAACCATACTCACTCACTCACTCTAAAATTATTATGTTATTTAAAATTCTACGAAAACGGACAGCACAATTATTCTACTTTGTTAAAGAAACATTACGGTATTGTAAATCTGTGTTGGAGTGAGGGAGTTAATTTGGTTTAACGCCCCCTTTAAAAGAAGTCCAGTTATGTCGCGGCGTGTCAGCTTAATGTTGGAGGAAAGCCCAAAATGATGCAGGTCTCAAATGTTAACCACCTCGGTGAAACGCACGAGCCCGGGTATAGTGCTGACAAACCCAGAATCATCGGGGCGAATCGGGATTCGAACCCACAATCACTTTCTGGCAGTTTCTGGCGTTTCCAAGGGACGCAACTCTGCACAGCAAATCGCGGCGCCTTAGACGACTTGGCCAATCTGTGTTGAAGGTGTAAATAAGCCCATATCATGACATGAGAATGACCAATGTTTATGCTCTTTATTTCAACACCAAGAACATGAACAGAACAGAGGTTACACTGTGTTTAAACACATGCATATTGAGATATTTCTAGCAGACGTTGTCCTTGAGGACGAAATACCGGAAGTAGACATGAGTATCAACAGGACTTCCGGAACATGACGATGTCCCGCCGAAATAGTTGGAAAACAGAATGCCGTCGACTTTCACATCCGGGGATTCTCTGATTACAACGTTACTGACGTCGTACACTTTACCGACGCCCCCAACAACGATTCGAACGTAGCCATCAGCCTGGCCGAGTGTGTTAAGGCGGACAGTTTGCTGGATTGTGTACCAGGTCCCGTTCTGGAACTGGAAACTTCCGCTGCCCAGTCGGTGCCCCCAAGCATCATTACACTCCACCCCTTCAGTGGTACAGAACTCGGGTGTCTGCTGAGATGTGGTGAAGAGTGCCACTCCACCCATGCCTCCTGTTCTCCAGATGAAGCGGGATGTGAAACAGTCCTTGCCTGGGTCACCTCCAGCCGTACAGTTGACCCCGCCACCGTACAGACCCGGCAACTTTCCACCGTAGGCGAAGTCGAAGTTGTCGTCGAACCACACTTTGTAGGAGAGCGTCAGGCACTCCCTGGGCTCTAGAGGAGTGGAGTAGAACTCAGCTCCACTGTAGAGATCGGTGAGGCCGTAGGATCCCTGGGAGAGAAAGATGCTGCTGACTTTGTAGTTGCTGCCGTCGGGGTTTGGTTCAGCAGACACCGACTCCTGACCCCTGTATGTGGAGGTATCCATGTTCCAGTTCCCGCGCCATATTGTGTTGCTTCTTGAGGTCTTAGAGTTCCAGAGTTTAATACCAACTGGATGGAGAAATAATAAAAAGCGTTTAGATGAAATGTCATAAAGCATTAACGTGCTGTAGTGAAAAGTCATATATATAACGTCATGCATTTTATGAAGACGGAGAAATAGCAGGAGTGTGATATAAACGAGATTGATGCCATTGTGGTGTTGTAATATCAAGTAATCAATACAGAAATAAGAGGCGGTCGGGTAGTCTAGTGGTTAAAGCGTTCGCTCGTCACGCCCAAGGCCCGGCTTCGATTCCCCACATGAGTACCATGTGTGAAGCCCATTCTTGTGTCCCCGCCGTGATATTGCTGGAATATTGCTAAAAGCGGCGTAAAACCATACTTACCCACTCACTGAAGAAATAAACGATTCAGAAATAAAAATATTTCTGATAATCGTCTGAGTAGTTGTGGACTGCCATTAAGAGGTATAAAATAAACTCCAAATACAACACGTGGATTTATATTGCCGCTCGCGAACATTATCCCACCCCTTTCCTTTTGTCAATATCAGTAATACAGCTATTGATAGAAAGTCAGTTCAGTAAAATTCTTCTAACGGAACCACACGGACTAAATGGTCTACCTGTCTGGAGTGAGCGATCTTACCTGTAGAATGACTGAGAGTGACAGCAGCCAGGATGAAGCATAGAAGCTGAGACATCGTTCTGAAACAGAAACATGGACATTGTAGAAACATGGACATTGTAGAAACATGGACATTGTAGAAACATGGACATTGTAGAAACATGGACAGTGTAGAAACATGGACATTGTAGAAACATGGACATTGTAGAAACATGGATATGTAGAAACGTGGACAGTGTAGAAACATGGACATTGTAGAAACATGCACATTGTAGAAACATGCACATTGTAGAAACATGGACATTGTAGAAACATGGACATTGTTGAAATATGGACATTGTAGAAACATGGACATTATAGAAACGTGGACATTGTAGAAACATGGACATTGTAGAAACGTGGACATTGTAGAAACATGGACATTGTAGAAACATGGACATTGTAGAAACGTGGACATTGTAGAAACATGGACATTGTAGAAATATAGACGTGCAGTCGAGGATCATGGACAAGGCCATTCCAGGAACATGGACGTGGCCACAACAAAGGTCATACTACGAACATGGATATTAACAGAAACATTGGAGATAGCATATATGATGGAGTTTACATCAAATAGAGTTGATCTAAAGTCGCAGTGGATATCGTTTTCGGCTATATCACGGCGTGTCAGTTAAATGTGGGAGGAAAGTCTGAGGTGATGCAGATCTTAGGCGTTTACCACTTTAGTTAAACCCATGCATACGGTTATAGTGCTGACAAACCTTGAAACATAATACTGGCGAATCTTGTTCGTACCCACGATCAAAGGTCTCTGGTACACTAAATGACGCTACTATACAGCCATTTGAGGTGCCTCTGGGCGACTGGGCCACTCGTGCCCCCATAAGAAATAGAACACTGACAGAAACACTAACATAGACAAGTTTATTGCAATAGCTCTATCGGCACTAATGGCTTATATCGGAATTGTTTATATATTCAATAATCATATGAACGTGTCATTGCTGTAGTTTCCGTATATAAAACAAATGTCTTCACTCAGTAAGTCAGTTCTAGCCGACATCCAGAAACGGCGATTAGTTTGGCATATAAACAGGTGGCACGTATCATTGTACAACATCTGGAAATACAACCATATATAGGAAACTACGTTTATAACGAACACGCTTATAACGACCGTCCTTTTTGTGTATATATGTTGTACATCTGCTAATAACCAACTACTGTTATAACGAATTCAAATTAGTGGTCCCTTTGAGTTCGTTATAACCGTAGTTGACAGTATAACATACCTTGGTTTGTTCCGTTCTGTTCCGTTCTGTTCTGTTGACGCCGTGTAGAGTGAAGATTCAACGTATGTGCCCTGCTTATAAACGACTACACCTTATCGTAGGATCGTTTTATTTGTTTATAAGTGATAAGTGAACTCCGTATTATCTATATTTCATTACTTTATTAAAGAGGATGCATTGATTCAGTTTCCCCCAGGTCACGATGACCTGAAAGACCACATGTATGGCGACGTCATGAAGAATTCATATGCACCTGCTCAGTCTGACATATTATGTCATCGCGCCTCCGTGGTCTAGTGAGCAAGAGCGTCTGTCAGGATATCGGATTTCATGATTTCGATCCCCGCCCGTAAATACAAAAATACGGTTTTAAGATGGTACTTATTGTTACCCTGTCTCGCGCTCGGCATTAAAGGGCTAAAAAGAGGACTGATCGGCCAGGAGTCAGTACACTGTGTCTGAGTGGGGTATGCATGTTAAACAGCGGCATGGTGATTCAGTTGGCTGGCACTAAAAACCGGCACTAAAGTACTCACGGAAATGAAAAAAACCTGTTTTTTCGATCTCGGATTTTATATAAATGCAGTTAATATACAAAATATATAAATATTAAAAAAACTCAATTAGTACTAATTGGGCCTTGGCACAAATACAGTGTATCAAAGGTTTTTATGTCTTTTTACATGTAAAAGTGTGTAAAAATATGAACAAAACAGATTATTGTGAAACTGAGCATAACCAGGTGTTAGTAGACCAAGGTGAATGTCCATGACCTATGACACCTTGACGACAGGTGAAAACAGGTGCTTGAAACCCACGTGCATGTGATTTGTCAGTGGTTAATTATTTGTGAGTGGCATTGTGGGATAGTGAATCATCGTCACAATATCAGAACGTAAAAGTAACATATTCCCTTCTCAAACAACAACTTACATGTCATTATTATTATGTACATAAACATAGCTGTTATATATTTTTATTGTTGTTTTGATAACTTTTTTCCAGGCTGATTTGCATAATGCCTACAGCCTGTTTCTGCCATGTCAATTTTGACTTAGTTTTATTTTTGAATGTTGAAAGTGCCTACAAATTACCTCCTGTAAAGTACATTTTGTATTGAGCACTGAGATAAAACTAGCAAATCCAGACTAGTACTTTTCTAGTTGTTTTGTTATTTCGTATTTACATCTACGTAATGCTTTGTGTCGATTATTAAATCCAGCAAAACAGGGTTTTTTTTCATTTCCATGAGTACTTTAGTCCCAACCACAAACTAAAAACATGCACGTCGCTATACGAGTGAGACATAAACCCCTTCATCGCACATAATGTCAATGCGGGGAGTATAAGATTGGAATGGCTGTGTAAGGTTCGTCCAGATTAACTGTACACATTTTGAAGTTTTCTAAAATATTGTTTCTCAATGGTGTAGTTTGTGCTGAGCAATATATTTTAGGCTAGAGTACACCATCAACTGTCTAGATAGTGTATAATCCATATTGGTTTCAGAATAGATGTATTGAACTATTATTCCATGAGTGAGTCCATTCATGATCTTTTTTAATGTTATTTCAAGAAGGCAGTGGTTAGAACATATTTCGGAATCGTGACTGACAAAACGTTTATTCCTCATATTGATGTTTCAAGTTTAAATGTAAATACCCAAGGTGAGGTGAAAATAAGGTTTAAACACGTGTGTGCGCGTGTGTGCGTGTGTGTGTGCGCGTGTGTTTGTGCGTGTTTGCGTGTGTGCGTGTGTGTGTGCGTGTGCGCGCGTGTGTGTTCGTGTGTGCGTGTGTGCGTGTGCGTGTGCGTGTGTGTGTGTGTGCGTGTGCGTGTGTGTGCGGTGTATGCGTGTGTGTGCGGGTGTGCGTGCGGGCATGTGTACTAGTCCGGACTAATGCTGGTATTATAGAACTAGCTTACTGAGATACCATGCTGAAGATTAACGTGGATATCTCACTCACACACGTGACAGTAACTCCAAATCGATCAGTTCTTGTTTTTAAATCTAGAAAACCCTTCAAAATGTGTCAAAAAACCCAGAAAACCCCAATACAACCACGTGCTATATCTTGTAAACCCCGCTATGACATTAAATGATTCAAAAAGGGGTTTAAAGGAGCGTTCAAGATTATTGCACTCATATAGCGACGTGCATGCACGTGTGTGTGTGTGTGCGTGCGTGCGTGCGCGCATGCGTCCGTGTGTGTATGTGGCTGCTTGTATACGTTCTAGTACGGTCTCATGCCGGTTTTATAGTACTAACCCACTGAGCTACCGTACCGCGGTTACCCCATCCAGACACAGTTTACTGACTCCGAGCCGACTATTCCTTGTTTTGTCCCCTTAATACCGAGCTCCAGACATGGTAACAACTGCAAGTGACATCTTTTAAAGTCTTTTTGTATGATGCGAGCGGGCATCGGACCACCGACCTTCCGTTCTCGTCGCAGGCGCTCTATCCACCAGGCCCAAGAGGCGGTCCTTGCCCTGCCTTTGAGAACTGACATAATATGCTGCTGATTATCCGACAGAATATGATTTACCTTTGAATAATCAATCTCATTAAAATCACATCTTAGTTCTCGCTACCGCTGAACAAAGATCTGAGGATATCCCATTTGGGGTCACGTCAGAACGACCTTTCATCCGACCAATCAGAGCGTCGCTTACCAGATCATGAAAGTGATAGTCGGAATGTGATTTCTAATCAAGCAGCCTCGAAAACTTTAAAACGGAGTATTCCGAACGATAGTTACGGACTTAACGACTGATTCTATACAATCTAGACGATATATTAGCCATTCGAGAATGTTCTTTTGTTCAGGTTTCAAAATTTTAAGCGAGAATTTGTCAAAATATGTTTCGAAACGTAGTCGCCAATTTGAAATTAGTGCCGTAAAGCACGAAAAAGCTGCCTTCTGATTGGCTAATGTCGACTTCATGTCAGTATTTCCATTGATCGGTCAGAGTTGGCGAAAGGTCGGTCTGACGTGACCCGTAATGGGATGTCCTCAGATATTTGTTTAGCGGCAGCGAGAATTAAGATCTGATTTCAATGAGATTGTTGAATAATATACTCCTGTATTTTAACATTTTCCACCGAAATGACAGTTCATGAAATAATAATAATTTGTTTCGCACACATCTCGAAAAGTAGTAACCCTAGATGAATCGATGATCTTGAAATATTTGAAGTTAAATGTTTTTAGGGAACAAAACCCAAACTCACATAAAAATGTAACTAATATTATACTGGGCTTGTCTATTTCAGTAATTTGCAGATACTTGCATTCAAATAGGTAATATTTTGATATCTCGTGATTCCTCTGTGTTTATTTTAATACTTCAACTCCGCGGCGATACAGTGATGCGTGGATCAGACTATGCTTCCAGTACTCCATGCTTGTAAGATCCAATAATGTGTTTAGCTGCGGCGTAAAACAGCTTCCACTCATTCCTGCGTGTACTACCATATCGTTCCCCGACTGCTGACACATGTTCTGATTTAAATTTGATCTGCTGCAGTTTGGTGTTTTCCCTGACATATTCTCTTTGTTGTCATTATTAATTTATTCCAACTGTGTTCCACTGCGAGACAGCTGAGAACGTGACGTCAAGCCCACATTGTCTCATGATGCTGATAATGATCTACATTCAAACGTCCAGCACACATACACACACGTGCCAGAAGTTACGAGGATATTTGAGAGTCTCCGACTGGTCATTCTCCGCCAGGTGCAACTCAATCAGGCAGCCTTACCTTCCTTCAGGCTTCATCCCCGGTATCTGCCTGGCGTGTACCCGACTGCCTAATGCCCCCACCTAATAAAATCTCTCATCATCTCATCATCTAATTAACACCGAACCCCGAGTGGTACCTAATATTTGTAATCACTGAGCCGTACCGACTCGCTTTCTACACACTGCAGTTTTTGTTACAGCATACCTCTGAAAATACATTCATTTTTTTGTTAGTATGAGGTGGTTCAGACAAAACTGTTTCAGACAAAATAGATTAGTTCTAGTTATATATATTTTGCGGCGTTCTTACTGGTTGTATTCTCGAACATTACAAGCAAAGTTTGGTAATTTGTATTTGGTGTTTATTCTGAAACTACAGATGTTGAAGTGTTGTGGAATGTCATCGCCCTGATATTACTGTTGATGCTTCTACGAGATGAGGCCTGTGTGTGTTCACAGGCCCTGTCAGAGTGTGTTCAATTTACGGCCTCGCTTATCACACACTTGATTTGAAACCCATCTCTAAAACATACACAAGGTTAGTCGTAAACACAGCATCTTAGAAAAGTAATAAAGCTTGCACTAACACCATGTGTATGTAATACGGTATGGTTTTGCCGTGGACTATGAACGTAAACGTCAACATGAAGCTTGACGTTATAATAGCTCATGGCAAAACGATACTTTGTAGCACTACTTACGGGGGTAGGGTAAACGTTATTTCGTAAGTACAGTGACTCAATCTAGCAGTACTTTCTGATATAACATTGACTACATTGCTATAGCAACCCGAGACTGTGTCAATGTAAGTGGAGAACACTTGTGACATCTGCGCGCCTACGCATAAATCTGCAGGTGGTCTTTCGCTAGGTCACCGTGACCTGAGGGAACGCGGAAATATTGAATGTAATAATACTCGTTGATAAAGTAATTAAATGTGAATTAAATGGTACACGTATCCTATCTACCAACACAAACAAAATGATCCGACGATAAGAAATACCCGTTTATAAGCACAGCACCTCCGAAGAATCGTCACTCCACGTCAATAGAACAGCGTTGGACAGGTATGCTACCCACAGTCGAATAGTGTCACTTTTTATTAAATAACGCATAGTGCCCAACTAACCTTCATCTTCTATAACAGCGATTCTCTAAGTGAACATAACTATTATGATTGAGTGATATTTCGATAACAGCAACACTTATTCCGATTCTGTGACTGGAATATTACGCTCGTTTGTAAATGTTTTGTATCTGAAGTACACTTAAGGTTCTAATTTGTCCTATATATT